TTCAGCAGCATTCACTATGGCTGTAAGCTTGCCTATTCACACAGCTTTTATATTTTAGTGCAGAATCGCTGTTAGGATGGACTGTCACACTGATTCGCAACTGGAGACTGACCAGTTTCCTGTTGCTTAATCGTGAATACTGACCAAACTCTGTCGGTCATTTTATAATGTGGACCCCAGACTGGGAGACTCACCATCGCGGTGTATTTTGATAGGCATTATCTGATTGGAGGCAATCGGCAGAAGCTCAGACCTGTGTTTCGTGCTTGTTTGTGCTCGTCATCAGGGTGTGTCTACAACGTCAAAAGAACTGATATCCCCTGAGAGATTTGAACTTGCATCGCCCAGTGCTGCAGCCTGAGAAGTTGCCTCTGAGCTGTCTGGGCCACGATTGACCTCCTGTAGGACTGGACTACATAAACACTGATTTTTCACTAAACCTTGGTCAATTTCATGTCTACTCCTGAGTGCTGATCCAATTTTGTGGGTCATTTTGCAGTGTAGCCACTACTGCATCTTAACGATCAAGAACAATAGAATGTAAACAAGAAGCAAGAGATTCAGTTCATTTGGATATCTCTGGAATTACTTGACCGTCGTACTTTTTTCAATCTGTCTAGCTCTCACATAAGTTCTGTTACCCTTCGGAACAAAAGGCAGCATGTTTGCTTCTTGATCTGCTCTCTTCATCTCCCAGATTTCCCTTAGGCTGTAAGAATAGAACTCTTCGCAAATGCTGTGGAAACGTTCGAGCTTCATGGAGTTCTCTACTGCACAAGACCCAGCGAATATCAATATCATTCGTCGTGAAGTGGCGTATATTTTACCTAACCTCCGGCAAGCATTGCTTCTCAAACTGATGTATGAAAATTTAAAGTTCCTGCGGAAGTTTTCATGGCTAGAAATATTTAAATCCACTGTTATGCGAGGTGTTTCGTCCGACGTTCCAACTGCCTTTCCTTGGACATTGATTATCATGTATGCATCATTTTCAGTGGCAGTCCCACTGACGACCATCTTGTCAGGATCCCTAATTAGCATAAATGCCTGCTCTATACTATTAGCGCTGTCGCCTTCTCCATCTTTTTTTCCCACCTACCTATGACCCCTTGCGGTCATCACGACGACTTTTAGCCGATTCACATGTTATTTACTTTCGCTCCTTGTAGCGATCACAGTCAGCTACAACGGGCCTTTTCGCATCACTCATTTCAGATGAAATTGAGGGGATTCACTAACCTTTGAACGCAGGATACTAACTGTCTTCACATTGTAACCACAGCAAAACCATGCATAAAGCCAAGTATGATTTGAATGAGAACTTCTGGCGGGTTGAGACAAACGTTTAGATGGGTAAGACATTGCTACTTCTATGTCTGAAGTTAGTTTTGACCAAAAATAAGTGATCATAGGAAAAATTTGAGTAAGGCGACCATCACTTTCGGTTCGTCGGCATGGGATGTCGTAGTTACTCCCAATATTTCTTTCTCATCGCTTCAGCTTTCCTAAATGAGCGTTAAAGTAGCCTTCTGTATGACCATATTTGTGCCGTTATGCTTTACATTGCGAAATTAACAGCGTTTCATGTAATTCTGTGGATTTAAATATTTCTAGCCATGAAAACTTCCGCAGGAACTTTAAATTTTCATACATCAGTTTGAGAAGCAATGCTTGCCGGAGGTTAGGTAAAATATACGCCACTTCACGACGAATGATATTGATATTCGCTGGGTCTCGTGCAGTAGAGAACTCCATGAAGCTCGAACGTTTCCACAGCATTTGCGAAGAGTTCTATTCTTACAGCCTAAGGGAAATCTGGGAGATGAAGAGAGCAGATCAAGAAGCAAACATGCTGCCTTTTGTTCCGAAGGGTAACAGAACTTATGTGAGAGCTAGACAGATTGAAAAAAGTACGACGGTCAAGTAATTCCAGAGATATCCAAATGAACTGAATCTCTTGCTTCTTGTTTACATTCTATTGTTCTTGATCGTTAAGATGCAGTAGTGGCTACACTGCAAAATGACCCACAAAATTGGATCAGCACTCAGGAGTAGACATGAAATTGATCAAGGTTTAGTGAAAAATCAGTGTTTATATAGTCCAGTCCTACAGGAGGTCAATCGTGGCCCAGACAGCTCAGAGGCAACTTCTCAGGCTGCAGCACTGGGCGATGCAAGTTCAATCTCTCAGGGGATATCAGTTCTTTTGACGTTGTAGACACGCCTTGATGACGAGCACAAACAAGCACAAACACAGGTCTGGAGCTTCTGCCGATTGCCTCCAACAGATAATGCCTATCAAAATACACCGCGATGGTGAGTCTCCCAGTCTGGGGTCCACATTATAAAATGACCGACAGAGTTTGGTCAGCATTCACGATTAAGCAACAGGAAACTGGTCAGTCTCCAGTTGCGAATCAGTGTGACAGTCCATCCTAACAGCGATTCTGCACTAAAATATAAAAGCTGTGTGAATAGGCAAGCTTACAGCCATAGTGAATGCTGCTGAACAGACAGGAGACGGGGTAGAATTCAAAGCAAGTTTTATAGAATTTGTGTGGATGGTTCGCTGGAAAAGCCTAGATTACAGAGGCTAATATGTATGAAAGAGCAACAAAGAGATGATATATGTGTTCTGCTAAATAACAGGAAGATTTTCATATCACATCTTTACTCTATTGTGAGGAACAGCAGACTGCATACGTTAAAGTAGCCAGAAGAGACATTCAGATGTGGAAGTGAGGATATATAGTGATACCACTGTTACTATACTTCGCCGTCTTTATGTGAAAGCAGCTGAGCTCAATTCTTGGTAGTATCTTTCGAGCCATCATCTCATATTTTGCTTTCACAACCTCCCTTCGAAAATAATCGGTTGAGGTGGTTCTTAACCCGTTTTGTACACTCAGTTAAGCTAGTTGGCGGCTGATAATAGTCATGTGGCATAATATTACTTTATAAAATTATCGAGCTTATACTTTGGTATTAATAAATGCAGTGTTGTTGAGGTCTTGGTGTTAGCATCAGGAAGATCTGTTCTACTGCAGACCGATTCAGCATACAGATCCACTAGAATCAGGTTTTTGTGTACGAGGTTCTATGTTTATTTTGTCAGTTTGTCTTCCAAAGCAGGTTCAGTATGCAGGTATGTAGCATAAACAACCTATGTGACTAAAATGTCACAAAAATCAAGCCATTCAGTTCAATTCATATATGATTGAGGACTGAGATCACCTTATTGCCAGAGACACAAGTGCTACTATGAAACAGGTACTTTTAAAACAACTAAACACTATGAGAGCAAGGTCTCCAAATACTTCGAAATGCTTTTATATGGTAGGTGTGTACACGGAATGGAGAACGGCTATTCGACCTCGAATATGTGCCATAGCACAAGCTACTCAAACCACATTTAATCGGTGGGCGATTAGTGTCCGCAAGTATGGAATTTATAACCGCATATAGAAAGCCAGAGTGGTACTCATTAATCTAGGCCACCTTTAACCCTATCGAGACGTTAGTCCAACCGCAAAAGGTCGGGTTTACAACGCTTCGGTACGAGCAGTTCTGCTCTACGCCTGTGAAACCTGGCCTCTTTGAGCTGAGGAAGTGCAACGACTCTGCGTTCGATTGTCGTTGTATCCGTCAGATTGCACGCATCCTGTGACAACACTACGTAAGTAATTCTGAGGTACGATAGCGTGTGTTTGGGCATGATGGAAATTATCATTCAACAAGTGAAGTCATCTGGAAACATCGGCTTCGGTGGCTTGGATATGTTAAGTATGTCGTCCTAACGGCTTCCATACCGTTCAGTGTTTGCTAGCCCTGCTAGTGAATGGAAGAAGCGGGGGAGCAGTCAGTGAACGGGTGGCACCATGGGGTGAAGGATAGTTGTATTGGATTAGCATCTGTTGGCGTTTCATTACTCCCTAGGTGGTATGCGAGAGATCACGCAACTCAGTAGCTTGAGACATTATCAGACAAGGCTCAGAATCGAAACCAGTGGCGGTTATGCTGTAGCTTTCTCCTACCTTCTGCTGCTGAAAAGTAATGTTTTGTTTTGAACGTATCTTATCGGACTACCCTTCTAATTATTCTGTTCTTATTCGTCCCTTCGCTTTGTCTTCATAATCCTGTTATATTATTTTGTGTGGTGCATTTCTTGGTCCCCTTGCTCCACCACTTTTGTGTTCTAATAATAATAGTACATAGAAGACCAGGTAACATCTGGATGTACTAAGCAAAATGACAGCCCACCTTATGATCGCATCTACAGAGCCAATTTGTTTAGGGCGCCACTGTTTCCGGTGGTCGCTTCAAAGAGGTCACTGATCCTGTAATGGAACGTTCAAGATACAAAGGCATAAAATAATATTGGTCAACACTATCACGCCCTGCCTACATAACTCATGATGAGTTATGTATACTAGTTGTTTTCATTACCTGCAAAACTAGGGTACGAAGTGAATGACCCAATTACTTACGAAGAACAACTTTAAATCAAAAGAATATATCATAAAAATTTTTAGTTTTACTAGGAGCATGTTTCAGTCACTTATTAATAGGATATAATAAGGAACTTGAAACATCTTAACTGCAGTGCTGTGCGACCTCGAATCTTGACGGAAGTTTTCTCAAGGTTAAAGATAAGCGTTGCTGATAAGGAACAAGTACCACAAAGCCCAGGTCTAGAAATTGACTAGTGACATCAAAATGCCAAACGATGATGTGATACATTTTGCAGCGTTTCCTCAGAAATCTCTATCAATGAAACGGTATACTTCAGTTGTTCTGAAACATCCATGATGTACATAAGTAGTGTACACTGATACAACGAAGTTGATGGTTTACATACAATGATATGCGCTGTGTGTGATAGTAAAATACACTAAAACCCACTACCAGTTTGTACAATTAAGAAACCATTTTTATGCACACAAGAGCTTTTTTAATTTGTATACAATCATACAGTTCTCAAGGAACTACTTTATGATTAGTCAAACATTATCGGTAGCTAATTCCAAGTAGTAATTAAGGGAATTGTTAGGTTCCCCATATTTTTCAAAATCAAATAAGTTCAGATCCCCTTGCAGTTGAATAACAGGTCGACTGTCCGTTAGCTTGAAGTGATTTCTTATTGATTGTCGCATAGCTTCTTCCTCCGCGATTAATACTGTTTCACCGGGGGCTTTAGTGATTGCGCATGGGATAAATAAAGTGATAAGTCTTAACAAATGATAAAATGTTATAAGTACAGTATGAGTATCTACTAATACATTTCTGTAGACTAGTTCGGGAACTAATAGGAACAGCTTAACTTCCTAGTTGATTTTATAACGAAACCTTTTTCAGGATAGAACTGACTTCTTGATTTAGCACGTACCGCGTTCGGTTTTTCGGATCAGTTCATTACTTTTACTTCATAATGTACATATGTATAACCCTTGTGGCATATCTATTGTCCTACTAAACCACTTAAGCAGGAATTTCGTTTATATTCATAGTACTGAGAGCGTTTTTAGTTCAGAAGCAGATACAAACTTAAGCTGTTGCCAGCGTTAAACATAGAGGTTAGTATATTTGGCAAGCCAAAATTAATCTTGTTATGTCTTCTACGATGAGTTTTAGCGTGGGCAATTTCAATAAGTTATGGTAATAGTGTAGTGTTCAAGACCTAAGTAATAGTTATAGTCAAATACGTATTTTCATACTGCACGTTTGAAATACTGAGTGAACATTAAAATAAATCCAACTAGTTTGAGTAAGAGCCTTAGACTGCTGTCACAATTAGTTACAAGTTGGTGGTGACCATAACTTGGATAGAAGAAAATATGATCACTCCAAGTGAACTCCTTTCAGCTATTCTCGTTGACATGCTGAGTAAATGAAGACCTAAATTTATAAAATGAGAAGTATGGTTACGCCAATTTGTGGCAAGAAATACCCTCAGACTGCAGAAATAACGGAATAAATTGTTAATGAAATACTAAGACCGAAATTTATTCGACGCTTGAAATAAATTTCTACAATGACGACAAACTAAAGGATCGGACAAGTTTCAGATTTATTACAATTCACTGACCAGATCTTAGCTTTTCCTATGGTATTCGGACATTTATGGTTGTTTTACACAAGCTATATTTAACCCAGGAATGACAGTTGATAGCTTAATCCCTGGAAAACAACTGTAGAAGAAATAACGAATTTCTGAAAAGTTGGTAATCAAACCCTTGTAGCAGTGTTTAAAACTTGCAATGTCGTCAGCCAAACTTACTAATACGAACAGTTTTCATGAAAAAGCTGATCCACAGAGATATAATGAAATGCATAAAATATTACAGTCATCCGAAGTTACAAAACACCCAGCAAAATGACGAAGAAATGGAAATACGCGCAGACTTCATAAGTAACTCAGTTTCTTGTGTACCAACGAATGTATAAACCTCGCCTAGTTAACTAGTTCACTAGTTACTAGCCGGTCCTAAGCCCCCGTAAAGAGGGAAGGTTGGGCATAGGGCTAGCAACCCTACACCGTAAAACAAATATAACCGCTAAAGAAACTTCAAAGCACAAACAAAATATAAAAAATGAAAACAAACTTATTCCCCGCTGGAGTCGGAGAGGCGAAATGACGCCAGTTGGTGAAAGCCTTCGGGAAGCCAATTGGCCGATGTGTCTTCTCTCGATGAAAGCGAAAGTAAACGTGGGGACATGGAATGTCCGCACGATGTTTGAACCCAGTAAGGCAGCCCAGATTGCAAAGGAGATGAGAAGGTATCACATCGAAGTGCTTGGGATTTGCGAAAGCAGATGGAATGGGAGTGGACTCTCCAAACTGTCAACTGGAGAATCAATAATCTACTCCGGTCACCCAGACGCCAACCACGAGCACACTGAGGGAGTGGCTATCATGATGTCCTCAAGAGCATCGAAGGCTATCATGCAGTGGGAACCAATCTCCTCCAGGATCATGACAGCAAGATTCAACTCAAAAGGAAGAAAGGTCACAATCATACAATGTTATGCACCTACAAATAATGCAGAGCAAGAGAAAAAGGAGGATTTCTACAGACAACTTCAATCAACACTGGACAAGACGCCAGTTGGCGATATCAAAATTCTAATGGGCGACATGAATGCCAAACTGGGAGGGGACAACACGGGAAGAGAACTAACCATGGGTCGAGAGGCGCTAGGTGAAATGAATGAGAATGGAGAATTGTTTGCAGAATTCTGCGCATTCAACGATTTGGTGATTGGAGGCAGTGTGTTCAGGCACAAGGATATCCACAAAGCGACATGGATTTCACCAGACACCACGACACACTAAAAATCAAATCGACTTTATCCCAATCTCAAGAAAATGGAGACGCAGTCTACTTAACACAAGGTCAAGAAGAGGAGCAGATGTAGGTTCAGACCACTATCTAGTGCAAGGAACCTTCCAAATCAAGTTAAAAGCCTTCAAGGAAGCTGGTGATAGACCTCAATTCAAGTACAACACTCGGAAACTGAAGGATGAAACTACAAAGGAGATCTTCAAAGCAGCCATCAAGACAAAATGGGAGACGTCGAGGGACATCCCTGAAGAAACCTGTGTGGAAGAACACTGGAAGTCTTTGAAAGCTATGTGGAAAGAAACCTGCACAACAGTATTAGGAAGGAAGAAGAAAGAAGACAAGGAATGGATCTCGACGGATACCTGGAAGCTGATAGAGGAGAGGAGGATGGTGAAGCAGAAGATAAACCAGTGCAAGGATGCTCAACGACAAGAGGAACTGAGCACAATGTATAAAACACTGGATAAAGAAGTGAAGAAGAGTGCACGCAAAGACAAAAGACACTTCTACGACACACTGGCAAGTGAAGCAGAACAGGCTGCAGGTAAGAGAGACCTGACGACATTGTATCAAATAACCAGGTTGCTATCAGGGAAGAGACCAACACAGATGAAACCAATAAAAGATGAAGAAGGAAATTTAATTACAAAAGAAGAGAAACAGAGGAAACGATGGGCCGACCACTTCAAGAAGCTCTTGAATCGACCACCACCTGCACTTCGTCCAGAAATACCACCTGCAGCCGCTGAATTACAAGTGAACATAAATCCCCCAACGAAAATGGAAGTCCTGAACGCCATAAAGCTACTGAAATGCGGGAAAGCAGCAGGACCAGATGGAATACCGCCAGAAGCACTGAGAACAGATGCAGAGACAACAGCGGACATGCTCACACCACTATTGCAGAAGGTGTGGAAGGAAGAGAAGGTACCTACCAACTGATTGGAAGAAGGGTTACCTTGTCAAACTGCCGAAGAAAGGAGACCTCAGTGTTTGCAAGAACTGGCGCGGAATCACTCTCCTATCCACCCCAAGTAAAATATTAAGCCGCATCATCCTGGAGAGGCTTAAAGACGCACTGGATTCAAAACTGCGACCGGAACAGGCAGGCTTCAGGAAGTACAAATCATGTGCAGACCAAATTGCAACGCTTCGCATCATCATAGAACAGAGCGTAGAATGGCAATCAGCTCTCTACCTCAACTTCATCGACTTTGAGAAGGCCTTTGACAGCGTCGACCGAGAAGTAATTTGGAAACTGCTTCAATACTACGGAGTACCGCAAACCTTTATCCGCCTCATTCAACAACTATATGAAGATGCCACATGCCAAGTAATCCACAATGGGAAGCTCAGTGATGCCTTTGAAGTGAAGACAGGAGTGAAACAAGGTTGCCTACTATCCCCCATGATATTCCTGATTGTGGTGGACTGGATCATGCAGCAAACAGTAGGCAGCGAGAAGAGGGGGATACGCTGGCTGGACTGCGGAAAAGAACCTAGAAGACTTGGATTTCGCCGATGACCTATGCCTAATGTCACATAAACTTGAAGATCTACAGGCAAAAACTAACAAGTTGACAGAAGAGGCGAGGCAGCTAAGACGGGACTTCAGGTGAATATAGAGAAGACAGAAGTGATGAAGATACCGCACCACCACCATCAACAACAACAACAAACTCCAATCACCGTCAACGGGAGAAACTTGAAGGAAGTAACCTCCTTCACTTATCTAGGAAGCACTGTTTCAACTACAGGCGGGACGGACGAGGACGTCAAAGTCAGAATCGGAAAAGCAAGACAGGCGTTCATTAGCCTGAAACCAGTGTGGAGATCTTCTGCACTCAGCATGCGGAACAAGATACGGATTTTCAACACAAACCCAGTCAAGTCAGTGCTCTTGTATGGCTCAGAGACTTGGCGCGTCACGAAAGGCATTTCCAATGAACTACAGACATTCATCAACAACTGCTTACGCTGACTCGTTACTGAAGATCAGATGGCCAGAAAGAATAAGCAACAAGGAGCTCTGGGAACGAACCAACCAAGAACCTATCACGCAACAAATATGCAGGAAGAAGTGGAGATGGATTGGCCATGCACTGAGAAGGCCGACTGAGGACATCACGCGTCAGGCCAGTAGCTCGAGTGGAATCCCCATGGGAAGCGACGAGTTGGACGTCCAAGGGTGACATGGAGGAGGTCATGCGAGGAGGAAATGAGAGCTTCTGGGCTGTCGTGGAACCAGGTTCAAAAGATCTCAGAGAACAGAGGTCACTGGAGGCGTGCTACTGAAGCCCTATGTTCCACTAGGAACCCAAGGGACTAATAATAATAATAATAAACGAATGTATAGAAACGAAGCACTGAAACCATTTCTTCCTCAAAACTTTCACACACTGATAGTAAGCCTCTCAACACTATGCGATCAGCGGTTCATATCTTTAGGGAACTGATATCGTGGGTGTAGTCTGCCCCCGTAGACTTTCCAACTCCATTTTTTCCTATCAGTATGGGATTCTGTTGGTATATGTAACATACTGCAGTCATTATAATCCTACTAATTGATTTCTTGATACTTCAGTTGAATTGATAATGACGTACTTTCTATTCTCAGATTAAAAATTTAGTCAGGCTGCAAGGAGCGTTAAGTAACAAACGTAATATTTTTGGGTACAATGAGTGCTATGTGCGAGTTTTAGAAACACAGAGTCCACATTCCTAGATAAACCAAATTTACAACTGCTATACCTGTTGTGTATTCCCTTTCGTAAAATTTGTTGATTTTATTTTCCTATGCCGTTCGAGAGTTTAACAATTCTAGGGGTGCACTTTTGCATATAATTTTCTTATTCTTGTATTTACCTGTGTTGAGTCTGATGAAAACTACGATGCTTCTTTGCAGGCTTGAACTACCCACAGGGTCATAAACTAAAATTGTCGTAGACAATTAGTAATAACATGTTACAAGAAAGACAATGTCGGAATGTAGTTAGAAATTTCAACAGACAGACAGATATCGTCAACGTAGAATCTCGCACACAAATGCATCGGTTCAAGTTGCTACAATTCACAGTAGTATACAAAGAAAAGTTGGATAGAAAAGAGTGATTTTAAAGTACACGAAGTAATGAGAAAATGAGCAATTTGAAGATAAAGGTTAGTGCGAATACTTAGGCCTTAGATGTCAAGGTGTGATATATATACATATATATATGCGCCATTGTGAACTATTTTCGAACATGTCGCAAAACATCTCCAACCACTAGTTCCCATCATGTAAAGGACCCCCAGCCAGGGAGTTTACATCTCTCTTAACACCTCAGACCAACGGTCAAGGACTTCATGGACTGGTGCCACGCCTTGGTATGATCACTCTGAACCTTCTTCCAGGCTCTCCTAGCATGGTACATCGAAGTGGGCGGCGTGCACAGTACATAGCCATGTCATCTCAGTCTTCCTTGCATAGTATCCTTCATCTGACTTCAACATTGTTCAGATAGTGATTCCACTAAACGCGAGCGATGCTGTGAAGACACTTGTGATGAAAGCCATGTAGCCGTTTCATGTCTTCTTATTTTAACGACGTCTAGCAGCCATACAACAGGACAGAACGAACTTCATTACAATATACTCGTCCTTCGTTAGACAGTTCGATATCTCGCTGGCGCCACATGTGATGCGAAGTGACAAGTACCAAACGAGCCTCTGTATCCGAGCTGAGATTTCGTCAGCAAACAACCCGTTTCGGCTGATGCAACCCCCCAAGTAAGTGAAGTGGTCGACACATTCCACCACTTCACTGCCTATTATTAGACTGAAAGCACTTGCGGCAGACCAGTCCTGGAACATCATCTTACGTTTGACAAATGCGAGACGCATGCCAAACATACTCAGATTTCTGTTCAATGCGTTCAGAAAAGACTAGAACTCTTCAGCATCTTTACCTAGCGGGAAAATATCGTCTGCATATTCCGCGTTAACCGGATGACCTCCAGGGAGTGGACCCATCCCTATGAAGTCATATGTACCTAACACTGTATCCAACAGTACATTTATAACTAAATTTGGTAAGAACGGTGACAATGAGTATCCATGGTGGACACCACTAGTTATCGTAACTTCTAATGACAGCTCTAAATGCCCCCTTACACGGTTGCAAGAGTTCGAGTAGAGAGCTTTAATAAGTATTATATACTTGCTCGGTACTCCCTTCACAGTCAGACACTACGACACCACTACACGGTTGACTGAGTCAAATACCACCTGGAGGTCAAGAAATATGGCAAATGTTGGCTGCCGGTAAGTATGCCTGTCGGAGGGTGAAAATATGTTCCGGTGCACTCTGATCTAGGTTTTAAACCTGCCTGTTCTTCTCGAGGTTTCTGTTCTCGACCTCCAGTTAGACGTCGGATAACTATGGATCTCAGGAACTTGGACACAATATTAGTCAGACTAATTTCTCTATGGCTATCACTGGAAAACTCTCCGTTCTTATAGACTGGGATTATCAGTGAAGTAGACCAATCTGACGGCACCACCTGATTCTCACACATTACCTAGTACATCTATCACTTTATTCAGAAATTTCTTATCTACATCCTCGAAAACGTTTGGTGGCAAACTGTCAGGTCTTGCTGATTTATATCGTTTCAGGTTCGATACATCCTCAACTTCAAGCAGAATTGCAAGACCGACATCTACGTCTCAATCAGGTTCAGGCTGGATGTTGGGCAACTGAAGCGTTGCGAGAATAGACAGGCTTTACTACCGTTTCCTGCGACGAGTAAGGGGAAGTCATACACGAGCCTGTATTAGCGCGTGATTAGAGTCCAAACTTGCACTCCAGAAGCTGCAGCAGTAATATGATCTACCTGCGTCCATCGCTGACTTTTGATGTCGGTGAGCACCATGTGAGGCAGTACCTTTACCTATGTCTAAAGTTAGTACTGGCCCGAAACAGGCAATTGTTGGAACAAAATTGCAACAGACGGTCACCATCGTCGGTTTGTTGGCATGGAATTCCGTAAACATCCTCAAGATGCCTTTCTGAGTGGCCCACCTTCCCTACACTTTACACTTGTTCTAAGATTATTGCAACCGAACGCTTTTTACGCACACTTTACACTACCACCATAAGAAGATCAAGTAAGGTATCTTCGCTTGACAGAATTAAAATTTAAAACTAATCAAACTGTCGTCTTCATCGTGCAATAACCTTGACCGCATTTAAGCATCTTTATGCAGGTTTTATTTTTAACGGTTGTTCCATATACCACATAAACTTTAATAGCAGGATACAAGTAGTGCTATAAATGTTCACAACCTTTCGATTCCCAAGTTCAGGTGATCAATGCTAACGGTTTTTATGCGGAAATTTGCACCAATGCACTTCCTTGCCAGCTTCTACGCTATATTTACAACTTGTCTATTCAATGGAACTTCAAATACTGACTTTGTTACTTACCTTCTCCAACCAGCTGGTGGTCACTGTAGATACCAACCTGATAACAGGCTAGAACAGTATTCATACTTGATTGGTAAATTAGCCTGGAAAAAGTGGAAAAATAGATTAACGTTTTCGCATAAACTACTGGAAACTGCAAATCACTAATACTCGCCTTGACATCACCTATAGTTAACTGTGATAATAGAGTACCGTCTAAAGATATATGAAGCTGGTAAATAATGTTCTTAAGTATCGTTATCTGTATGAAGGACAATCTAATACTTACGAAATCGCTACTTGTTGAGATTACCTATTAAAGGTCGGGTTTACGGAGCCACATGCTTTGCACTACTATATGGCTGTGGAACATGATCATTCAAGATAGAGGATGCGAGAAAACTCCAAATGTTCGACCACCATTCCCTTTGCAGAACACGCTGGAGTTATGATGTCACCACAACAATAACGTAAAATCTGGTGAAGATTCTTAGGTACAAGAGGAAATTCAGTTCAGGAGGTTGTAAACCTTCATCTACTGAGGTGGCTGGGACATGTGCTACACACATCTGGTCACCATCTGCTCCGTCATACAATGTCAGCTGAAACAGATTCAGGCTAGAGGCGGACAGACTAAAAATGGCATCAGGTAATGAAGTCTTTGACTGTTGACCTAACCCATGTAAGGAAATGTAGACTACCCAGCTTGGGTGCGTGTGACAACAGGAACAACGGATTGAAGACTCTGGGCGATATGCCTCAGAATCTATTTCACTGGTGCAGATATATCCATGCATCATCTTTATCTTAATCGTCATGATGAATTTCAGTATGTTATTTCTTTTGCTCTCTTTTGATGAATTTCTACTGCTTTCTCATTTCGAACAGCACATAAACAATTAATGCGGATCTAATCAACTAGTGTAGCTTTTCTCCTAGCTCTCAGCGTGACTCCGTCACCACTGCGGCAACATGCCTATGCTACACAGTTAATGGAGAAGCAGATACACTGACAAGGAACAGTGTTCAACTAGGCTGGAGTTTGTGCGACATTATAAGTTGTTGTGAGCTACTTCATCACCGACAATTCACTATCCCAAAATGGTTTTGGACTTACTCTTCTTAAAATAAGTTGGATGACTACCATTTGGCTGTCTTGACTCTGAGAAAAGGCTCAACTCTGGAAGAATTGTTAACGATTTTCAACAAGCTCACGTATAAGAGAAAGAATATAATTCAAGATGTAGAAATCTCCTGTAGATATGAGTGTAAACTATGCTATTAACCCCCGTAAAATTTAAGTGATTTAGGAATAAACATTCAAATGCCAAAATAAAAGTAAATTTGGGCATTGTGATAGTGTTATTCTATACTCATACTTGGTATAAGACGCAGTTATACAGTATTATTCACTGCATGTATTTCGCGTATAAATTATTGCTCATAAACATATCAAGGTGGTAACACGACTTTTTGCTTTGGTTCGTATAGCTTTATTACCTTTAACCCCTTGATTTTAATGGCAGTATAATTTTCCAAATACCCGGGATTGAATTTGAGTCATCCCTATTGCACATGTTTAGTGTGTGGAACTGTGTCCCATTGGTTTAGGGGGATGATTTCCAACCAATGGGTCATGCGTTTGAACACCGCTTCACCTACTGAGGTTTGGGCAGCCAGGTAGTATCAATAGCCCCCACACAATAGGTATAGCTCATCGCCTACGGCATGAATATGCAAAAGATTGCTGAGTGCATTTTATTTCATGTTTGATGTTGGTTCAAAGAACAGAGATTCTCCATCCACCTTACTGTTTTAACTTTCAGGACTGTTGGTTTCTCCCACCCTACTGTGATTGTGTTAGTGGATACTTAGCAGTGGCTGAGCTACTTTTCAGTTTACCTATCTGGGTGGGGTTTACCAATTAAAATCTAGCTAAGCTATTATGTTCTGCTAACCTGATTGATCTCATTCAGCTAGTCTGACCTAATAATAATATCAGTAATAGTAGTCATATAAACCAAAGAAAGAAGTCATGTGAACATCTTGATATGATCATGAACAGTAGTTTATGCTTGAAACGCCATCCAGTCAATAATACTGTACCAATATACGTCATATTTGATATTCAGATGTCCCCAATACTCGTGCATGAAAGTGAAGCTTTAGCACATAAATCCTAGTTTATGAGAAAGATGTTAATAAGAGAATGAAATGTTCATCCCTTCATTATGCAAACCTATGACAAATGTGATGAGACAATCAGTATTTTTGAAATAAAGCTAGTTCTTGGAGGTACTGCAGCTCAGTGCATCAAATTAACAGAACTAATGTGTACAGCTTACCTAGCTTCGGGCGGTCCACGTCCTTGGGATTTGAGTATGCCCTGAAGTAGGGGTAAAGGTTCAGAAATGGATACCAATTCAGTCAAATCCAAATCTGCAAGTCGCACCAAGATGAAGTCCCGAATAAATAACTGTGCTTTCTCTAACTAATTCATAATAAATTTATTAAGAAAGGACAAATAATTTAGTATTTTTAGATGTACTGTTTGCAGAAAATACCATGTGGTGATGTAACTGAGGACATGAATAGAAAATCTCTTCAATTCTTTAGAGGTAACTACGGCCCTAAATCTACCAGTGTGAAATTATTACGTTTTTTGTACGACGATTAGATTATGATTCCTTTATAGTGGTCACCTTTTCCTACACAGGCAAGTTTTATTTTATTGCAAATGAACTCGGTCCAAGTTTCCTTAGTAGGCTACGAACCACGCCCATCATGTGAGGATTTATAATATTACCGACTGTTTAAACTAAAGCAGGTGAAGTAATTGAATCTGAATAACATGCGCATTTAATCAGCTAGTACTTTTATCTTTTAATGTCCTGGATTAGTCAGGATACGATCACAGTAAGTCAATCCGATTAATTTGTGATCCATAGTATCTATGTCGACCACAGCATAATGTACAGTCAACTAGCTATAATTTGGTTCCTATTATACAAACAAATTGGAGTTGGAACACAAACTTTGATCCTAACTCTTCAAAAGTATCGTCTCCAAGTGTGGTGATTAGCAGTAATGTTCCACATCCTTAAAGATACATAAGTCCTACTACCACTGTAAACAAGTCAGAAATCAGGAACCTCATGCTTGGAGTTATCTACCAACTACTCAAATTCACATAACTTAGACTACTGGTTACATTGTAACGGCCTTCATAATTATTTTGGAATAAGACTTTGTACCACCTAGTGATCATTTGATGTATTTCCGTTTTTAGTCAGAAGTGATCTTACTTCCTAAGCCTTTTCACCAAGCAAACTGAATTAGTATACTTCTGTTTGAACTTCATAGCCTTTAAGCTTCATTTTTCACTAAAAAAAATAATAATCACGAACGTCCACAGCAATCAGTCCACGGTCTAATGATTTGAACATTTGACTCCCAACTACTAGTTCATGAATAAATACGCACTTTAACTATTTTAGTCAGTGGTACCAAAAGTCATTGCATGATGGTCGTGACAGCCCAAAACACAAAGTTTCGACTAGTAAGATGTCCAAACGCTTTACGAACATGATAGCGAATTGCAGATACATACAAAATTCATTAAATAACTATCCAACACAAGTTAGTCGAAAAACATTACCTTATCTTTTGCTAAAGCACCAATTAAAGCCATAAATGCATTAGCTAGTACATCCAAATTTGGCGGCTCCAACACAACTTTATTGCTTGAATAATCCGTCTGATCACTGTAAGGTACAATATCTTTCACTCCTAAATGTGCAGCTATATAAGCAAGCTCAGAATTTGAACTCAAATGTTCGACGATCTCCATTATCCACTCTTCAGGAAACTGGGGATAGACTGAGCGTAGGAAAGCAAGTAAGAATTTTCGAGAAACATCTCGACCTGTTGTAGGAAAAACACCCATGAGTTATGTATAAATCACTGGTATTTATCAGTAGCTTAAGGACACATTTATCCCCTCCAAGTTTGAAAAACCTGTTAACATAGTGAACGTCTCACATCTAAGGTAGGAAAGCTCGTAGAGTATGTCAGCTAACTTAAACGCAACTAAAACGAAATGTTTGACTGCCTAACAGAAACTCGATTGAGAAAAGATTATTGGTAGCAATAAATTACGGAACTATCTCAAGTTCGGGGTTTCATTAATAAAGTCGTACTAGTAACTGCTATGAAATGATTTCCTTTGGAAGTTCCTAGGATTTCTTAAGTTTCAAACTGAGAAACCCGTTGTCGTCTCATCGATTAAAGATAAGATGATGCAAGAAATAATCAACCAGGTATGTGGTGGTGTGCTGAGTACAAAACAGGAATATACGTAAGACTTATCATTACAACTTAGACGAAGATAATGTATGGATACATTTGGATTAACAATCAGTTTTAATTAGTTTGTATGCCACATAGCGGATTTCGGCGAGAAGCATATTTCATCAGCCTTGAACTAGTAATAATTGATAACCATCCCTAAAGCTCAAGGTAATGCTAAAACATTTAATGCAATAGTTTCTGGTGCTTTTCGCCTGTACTTTTTCAAAGCCCCTTAAATATGACCAGATTTAAAGAATTGCTGTCTATTCTTGATTCATGAAGTAACAATGGTAGTTTATAGTTTGTTTTCAGTAATAAGGAGAGTAGGCCGGATGGCCTGTGCTAATCCTTGCAGAAGATCTAGTTTCTCTTTCAACACGTTGACTGAAGGTGTTGATACTACTTTCTGAGGTAAGAAGTTTCACACGTTGACCTCACGATGGGAGAAACGCAGATTCACGCTAAGTTGATTCGATTATGGCTTTTGGATTCTCTTGTGATGTTTTCGGGGATAATCAATCCTAACAGGAGAGAGAAGATAGGACATATCAGTACCGAAGTCATTATTAAGGATACGAAATTCTAGTATGAGACCATCCCGTTTCCTAGGGTAAAACAGTAGCAATAAGTTTAGCCGATCTAATGGTTCCTCATCGGGGAGATTCGAAAGACCTGCCACAAGTTAAGTGCCTACCCTTGAAACACGCTCCAGTACGTCAACATCCTTTTTTAGCTATGAACTGGTCGCTGAATGCAGTGACGTCCGAAATAAGTAGAATAGAGTATCATGAACATACCCTGATCAAAACTTTTGAAAGCTCTCGGGATGGACCATAATACACGAAAGCGCTTTGCTACACTACACTGTGCCGAAGTTTTCAAACCATGGCTTTCGATAACATCTAACTGCTCAGGTTCAAAGACTGGGAGCAGTGATTTACCACCAACGGAATACCGGAAACAATTGCAGTGACCAATGTGCATTATTGGAACCTCGCCTGGTTAACTAGTTTACTAGTTACTAGCCGGTCCTAAGCCCCCGTAAAGAGGGAAGGTTGGGCATAGGGCTAGCAACCCTACACCGTAAAACAAATATAACCGCTAAAGAAACTTCAAAGCACAAACAAAATATAAAAAATGAAAACAAACTTATTCCCCGCTGGAGTCGGAGAGGCGAAATGACGCCAGTTGGTGAAAGCCTTCGGGAAGCCAATTGGCCGATGTGTCTTCTCTCGATGAAAGCGAAAGTAAACGTGGGGACATGGAATGTCCGCACGATGTTTGAACCCAGTAAGGCAGCCCAGATTGCAAAGGAGATGAGAAGGTATCACATCGAAGTGCTTGGGATTTGTGAAAGCAGATGGAATGGGAGTGGACTCTCCAAACTGTCAACTGGAGAATCAATAATCTACTCCGGTCACCCAGACGCCAACCACGAGCACACTGAGGGAGTGGCTATCATGATGTCCTCAAGAGCATCGAAGGCTATCATGCAGTGGGAACCAATCTCCTCCAGGATCATGACAGCAAGATTCAACTCAAAAGGAAGAAAGGCCACAATCATACAATGTTATGCACCTACAAATAATGCAGAGCAAGAGAAAAAGGAGGATTTCTACAGACAACTTCAATCAACACTGGACAAGACGCCAGTTGGCGATATCAAAATTCTAATGGGTGGGGCGACATGAATGCCAAACTGGGAGGGGACAACACGGGAAGAGAACTAACCATGGGTCGAGAGGCGCTAGGTGAAATGAATGAGAATGGAGAATTGTTTGCAGAATTCTGCGCATTCAACGATTTGGTGATTGGAGGCAGTGTGTTCAGGCACAAAGATATCCACAAAGCGACATGGATTTCACCAGACACCACAACACACTAAAAATCAAATCAACTTTATCCCAATCTCAAGAAAATGGAGACGCAGTCTACTTAACACAAGGTCAAAAGAGGAGCAGATGTAGGTTCAGACCACTATCTAGTGCAAGGAACCTTCCAAATCAAGTTAAAAGCCTTCAAGGAAGCTGGTGATAGACCTCAATTCAAGTACAACACTCGGAAACTGAAGGATGAAACTACAGAGGAGATCTTCAAAGCAGCCATCAAGACAAAATGGGAGACGTCGAGGGACATCCCTGAAGAAACCTGTGTGGAAGAACACTGGAAGTCTTTGAAAGCTATGTGGAAAGAAACCTGCACAACAGTATTAGGAAGGAAGAAGAAAGAAGACAAGGAATGGATCTCGACGGATACCTGGAAGCTGATAGAGGAGAGGAGGATGGTGAAGCAGAAGATAAACCAGTGCAAGGATGCTCAACGACAAGAGGAACTGAGCACAATGTATAAAACACTGGATAAAGAAGTGAAGAAGAGTGCACGCAAAGACAAAAGACACTTCTACGACACACTGGCAAGTGAAGCAGAACAGGCTGCAGGTAAGAGAGACCTGACGACATTGTATCAAATAACCAGGTTGCTATCAGGGAAGAGACCAACACAGATGAAACCAATAAAAGATGAAGAAGGAAATTTAATTACAAAAGAAGAGAAACAGAGGAAACGATGGGCCGACCACTTCAAGAAGCTCTTGAATCGACCACCACCTGCACTTCGTCCAGAAATACCACCTGCAGCCGCTGAATTACAAGTGAACATAAATCCCCCAACGAAAATGGAAGTCCTGAACGCCATAAAGCTACTGAAATGCGGGAAAGCAGCAGGACCAGATGGAATACCGCCAGAAGCACTGAGAACAGATGCAGAGACAACAGCGGACATGCTCACACCACTATTGCAGAAGGTGTGGAAGGAAGAGAAGGTACCTACCAACTGATTGGAAGAAGGGTTACCTTGTCAAACTGCCGAAGAAAGGAGACCTCAGTGTTTGCAAGAACTGGCGCGGAATCACTCTCCTATCCACCCCAAGTAAAATATTAAGCCGCATCATCCTGGAGAGGCTTAAAGACGCACTGGATTCAAAACTGCGACCGGAACAGGCAGGCTTCAGGAAGTACAAATCATGTGCAGACCAAATTGCAACGCTTCGCATCATCATAGAACAGAGCGTAGAATGGCAATCAGCTCTCTACCTCAACTTCATCGACTTTGAGAAGGCCTTTGACAGCGTCGACCGAGAAGTAATTTGGAAACTGCTTCAATACTACGGAGTACCGCAAACCTTTATCCGCCTCATTCAACAACTATATGAAGATGCCACATGCCAAGTAATCCACAATGGGAAGCTCAGTGATGCCTTTGAAGTGAAGACAGGAGTGAAACAAGGTTGCCTACTATCCCCCATGATATTCCTGATTGTGGTGGACTGGATTATGCAGCAAACAGTAGGCAGCGAGAAGAGGGGGATACGCTGGCTGGACTGCGGAAAAGAACCTAGAAGACTTGGATTTCGCCGATGACTTGTGCCTGATGTCGCACAAACTTGAAGATCTACAGGCAAAAACTAACAAGTTGACAGAAGAGGCGAGGCAGCTAAGACGGGACTTCAAGTGAATATAGAGAAGACAGAGGTGATGAAGATACCGCACCACTAACAACAACAAGAACAAACTCCGTTCACTATCAACTGGAGAAACTTAAAGGAAGTAACCTCCTTCATCTATCTAGGAAGCACTGTTTCAACTACAGGCGGGACGGACGAGGACGTCAAAGTCAGAATCGGAAAAGCAAGACAGGCGTTCATTAGCCTGAAACCAGTGTGGAGATCTTCTGCACTCAGCATGCGGAACAAGATACGGATTTTCAACACCGACGTCAAATCAGTGCTCTTGTATGGTTCAGAGACTTGGCGCGTCACGAAAGGGATTTCCAATGAACTACAGACATTCATCAACAACTGCTTACGCTGACTCGTTACTGAAGATCAGATGGCCAGAAAGAATAAGCAACAAGGAGCTCTGGCTGGTAACGAATCAACCAACAACCTATCACACAACAAATATGCAGAAGGAAGTGGAGATGGATTAGGCATGCACCGAGAAGGCCGACTGGTGACATCACGCGTCAGGCCAGTAGCTCGAGTGGAATCCCCAGGGGAAGCGACGAGTTGGACGTCCTAGGGTGACATGGAGGAGATCGTGCGAAGAGGAAATGAGAGCTTCTGGGCTGTCGTGGAACCAGGTTCAAAAGATCTCAGAGAACAGAGGTCACTGGAGACGTGCTACTGAAGCCCTATGTTCCACTAGGAACCCAAGGGACTAATAATATAATAATAATAAAGTGAAACATGAACTGGGTGAATTTCTGTAGTTTCTGCTTCATGATGAGGCAAAAGTGTTGTAAAAATGCTTGCGGAAGGGTCGGGTGCCACTTCACTATGGTGTCTGGTATGCAGTGTAGCAAACGTAAGAGTTGCTCTCACAATAACTGCACAAGCCTCACACCCTCAGTATATAAGAGGTACAGCAACGCAGGAAGTATCTGGCTTTGTACGTTGTGCTGCTCGGATATCCGCACTCTGGTAGAAGAGGCAAAAACACTTCCAAATAAGATAACTAAAAAACTGTCGTCGAAAGTTAAAGCCGATAACTGGGACAGTGATAACGACACAGCATCCATTGACACAGACTACCTACTAGGTTTGCTGACAGCGACTTGGAAAAAACTACGCCAAGCAGGGTGAAGCGAGCATCTTCTAGATCTCTCATTCCTAGAGCTGGCAGATCCAGTCTGAAAACTGCTGACCGTAAGACTAGGTCTATTTCAGACGAAAGAAACAGGAGTGAAGCACTCTCAGTGTTAACAACGGGATCATGCAGGCCATAAACAGTTCGGCGACTCAATCGTTGACAAGAACTAAACAGAATGGGATGCAAGTTCGTTCTGAGGCTCTCAGTGTCAAGGTCAATGGACTAGGCCTTAGTAAACTTTGCATGCCCGACTCTGAAAAGTGGCAAGTAAGTAACCCTAAACGGCATGCTAAGAAGCCAATAACGGTCATCGAACCAGCTATCATCACTCTACAGAGAAAAGAAAAAGTAGAGATCCTTGACAAGTCTGTAATCTTCCACAGAGTAGAAGAAAGTAGAGACCCGGAACCACGCAAACGTTTCGAACATGACCTGAGCAAGGTACTAAGTTTGATAAGCCAGTTTTTGCCGTAAAATATGCCAGGAGTCACCCTACTCAAGATATATAGAGTAGGCAGACAGGAGACAGTCATTAATGAAAACAAGTTTCAGCTACTTAAAGTCGTGTTCAAGTCAGCAGATGAGAGGGATCATATTCTGAAGAATGCTTATAGACTTCAAGGATCTGGAGTGTTCGTGCGAAACGATCTGGCTCTTGCTGATCGAATCATAGGCGAGAAGTATAAGCAGAACTAGAATCCAGATTAGCAGCTGGACAGCAAGATCTGGAAGTAGTGGGTTTTCGTGTATTGAGGTTTTGGCAACAAATGATGCCGAAGCCTCTATGGAGAAAACGGAAACTTAGTTAAGTAGTGTTACCGTCTTGTACACAAATGCACATAGCCTCTTAAACAAATAGACCAAACTCAGTAACGTGATAAGGATAGAAAGTCCAGACATCATTCGTATCTCAGAAACTTGGCTCTTTTTTGGATCAGCGATTGTAAAACACACTTACGAAGATTCGACTCTTTTAGAAGTGTCAGGTTAGCATGCAAAGGTGGTGGTGTCATTTTTTACGTTAAGAATACCTTAGTTGTAAAAGCCATAGAAACAGCTGCACATGAAAGTGGGACATGTGAAATGCTGCACTGCCGACTAAAATGAAAGGCGCAAGATGGTAACGTAATCGTAACATATCGAAGCCTTGAATATGAGGCAGCAGACTTCCTCCTGAATAAGCTGACCTCTGGACAGATAAATGCCGATGTCTAGTTGTAGGAGATTTCAACGCACCATCAGTTGACTGGGATAGAGTGACAACGAAAGCACCACGTAATTCGTTTGACCACAGGTTAGTGGAAACATTAATTTCCTTAGCCCTCATACAGTACATTAGGATACCAACCAGGTATGATCATCAGCATGCTCATCAGTTCTAGACTTATTACTCCCACATACAGATGATGTAGGCTACATCCGGAACCTAGCACTCCTTGATAAAAGTGATTATCTTCAGATTCACAGCAGATGTCTTGTACCAGGCTGATGCCCCAGCTAGACCCAACATATGGAAAGCGAATATGGAAGCTATTAACCTGGAAACCTCATTTGAAGCTACATGGCGTTACTTCAGAGAGGTATATGCACGAGTGACCCAACTGTTCAGGGGATGGAAACACCGTTCTCCGTCGACAAACCACGAAATCCAGATCTTGCTACGACGTAAGAAAAAGTGCTGGAGTCTTGCCACACACATCGGTACACCCAAAGTGAAGTATTACAAAGAAGCTCGCAATAAATGTATCGCTGCTATCCGCCGGTCTCGAATATGCCTTGGAGCACGTCTTGCCCAGGCTGCATTGCAACATCTGTAAAGGTTATCTCCCTATATGAACCATAGAAATAAGACGTGTTGTGGTATAACCGTCATAATCAATGGGACGGAAAATGACTGTTTGATTGAGGACGATAAGGAAAAAGCAGAAGCCATGGCTGGATGTTTTGTTGAGGTCTTCACACAGGAATCATCTGTGGACACTTACGCAACAGAATAAACTCTGTGTATGTCGATCGTAATGATGTATTTCGGACATAAAGTACTCTTGATGTGGAAAAATCAACAGGACAGGATGAACTGCACGAAATCCACTATGGCTGTCTACTCCGATGTAAAAATCAGGCGGGAAATTAGGAACGATGAGGATATATGTGCGCTTCAGGTAGACCCGAACAGCTTGTTTACCTGGTCAGAGAAGTGGCTTATGCCTATCAATGAAGGTAAATGTGTGAGCATGCAGCTGGGGCACACAGCAACACCTACGATATTGATGGGATTGATCTACCGTCAGTACTGACCCACAATAATCTAGGAGTCATAGTGAGTTATGACTTGAAAACCATGGCTCACTATCGATTGGTAGCAGCTCGGAGTTTTAGGACTCTCTGGGCACTACGTAGATCGTTTACGAAAATAAGTGGTGACATGTTCACCATATTATACACAGGCGGCTAGTTCTTGTCTGAAATGTGACGCAGACTTTTTAGAAAGAGTTCAAAGGATAGCCAGTCACATGATCCCAGCGATAGCTTGCCTCACCTATGAAGACCGACTCAATGAGCTGAACCTCTTCAGTTTGTTCTACCGCAGACAGAGGAGAGACCTAGTCATGCTATACAGGATTCCAAGAAACGACTAC